GAGTATAAAACACAAACCTTGTTAATGAGTCACGCATTGTACATGTATCTGGCTTTGATATTGCTTACTAAAATAGTAATAATAATAATAATAATAATAATAATAACTTAATTTAAGTCTCAAGCTTCTAGCTTAGCACACAAGTCTAGCCTGATCTGAATCAAAAGGGGATTATCACAATTTCGATTCATTTAGTTGATTTTCTTATCCACATCGTATTATATTTAAGGTAACATAAGGAGGCGCTGATCATCAAAACGATTCCTAAACTGATTTTTGTTATTAGTCAGGAACCTATGTTTCACGTGACATATTTACCTTTACGCAGGTTTACCAGCTTACTCATTCCCAACGAACTAGCTAAAGAAGGCGATCGAAGTAAGTTTTTTTATATAATTCTTCAGTTATATATTCACAGAATACAGATCACTTTCTGCAAGAGAGGAACCTTTAAACGCAACTTTGCGTGATTGTCAAATTTGCCGAATACATTAGAGGCTCAGAACTTTACTAAGCTATTTTGTACATCGGGTATGAAATATCATGAGTGATGAAAAGGAAGACTTCTTTTAATGCAGGCCTAAATCATGCTGAATTCACAGCCTTAATCGTTGCGAAGCGCATATTAAGACCCAAACAATTCACTCGAGACGCTATAATAAGCTATTGTCATGTTAAGAACTTGAAAAAACCTTGAATTCCCATCTGTCTATCTACTCTCTCCATCTTTCACCAAATCCTTCTCTTTCCAGATACATTATCAGACTTGTAGCCAGTCGTTGTTTATATGATAAAATCAACGGACCGAGCGAAGGATTTAAGGAGAAGTAGAGGCCCGCAGGAAGTCATAGGAAACGAAGAGGTTCTTTTTTCTAATCTTATATTCTCCTGAAAAAAGTAAAAAAAACATGCAAATAAAGACTGGATAATCACTTACTTCATTTTACGCGGTGATAACGTAATTCCAGAAAGAGGAATACTGCAAACGACGCCGAATGTCTCGTCGCCAACCCCGCGCGGACTTTTTGCAATCAAACCGCGTCAGGTTTTATTTTTGTCTTTCCTCTAACACTAACTTACAGCTGTCTTAGTATTTTACACTCAATAATCGCCTCAGCATTTAATTAAAATTTTTTTCAAATGATCAAGTCAAGCTGCAAATGACCCTTGAAAGGGAACAATCAATTTGTGTTGTTGAGCACCAACAAATACGATTTGTTTCACAACGTAGCAATCATGAATAATGGTTAGTTAAATTGAAAGTTCCTTAATGTTTGGAAATTTTAAAACTTTAATGACGGTAAATTATGCAGCTTTAAACAGGATTTTTCAATATTTTTGACTACTGAAGTCAAAGAATTCTGACACAAGTTATTTTTTCGGGTCTTCCGCAAGAAAGTGGGGCGCGAAACCAGGCAAAAACTTTAAGGGAATAGCCTGAGAAATAAACCCTTCACATTGAGTGAAAACAAATTGCCCCATATATACAGTACTTGTGATCCGAAAGTTCGATTGTTAAACTGCACTGAAATTTCCATCTCTATACAGAATTAATCAAAAGAGCACATCTGCGAACTGAATTCGCTTGCCAGTACCAAACGTTTATTGTGATCAAATAAAATTAATAACTTTTTTCCGTCTGGGAGCGGCATTCGGAATGAAATCCAATTCTGAGGCTATAGCGCCAGTCAGGTGATTTTGGCTAGCACGTGAGCAATAAATACTCATAAGAAAATGCACATTTTGGACTTTCATTTGACCAGCAAACATGCACTTGAGTCAATGGATCTTTCAAAACACGGGTACTAACTGTAATGATGTACTGTTTTTCAATTTCTTTACAACTAACCAAAGTCGCATTCATGATGCTTGCAGTGACTAGAGTGAAACACTTAGGAAAACGCTCACTCATTTCTGTTATTATGCAAAACGTAATGTCCCTTTTTTACTTCATTCGTCTGATTGAAGATCAGTAAGATTGAACCCAGTAAAAATCTTTCGAATGAGATTTCCATGTTAACTACACAGACGAGTTTGATGATCTTATCAAAGTAGTTGAAATTAAAACTTAGTTCATTAAACAACACGTAAATTTTACGCGCGTTACCTCTAATAGATATATTTGCGCGCGTAAAACGCAACAGTGAAATTCACTCTTATACTTAGCTTATCATATCCCCATAAGAAGCAGTGTAATAAAGTCGGTTTAGTGTCCTAAATACTCTTTTGAAGCGGTTTAGTTTTCTTACCGGCGAAGGAAACTGTCTAAACACGAGGCGGCTTTTTAAGTGGTATAAGGTTTACCGATGCAAGCGGTGAGTCGAAATTAACAATACAAAAAGGAAAAATGTGTTCAGTCTGTTTTTTTTTTTCCCTTCTTTTAGCTGAGTCTTTTCTACTCCAAGTGAAAAGGTTGTTTTCCACTTTTGCGTAATTTTTACGTGCGTATAACGTAAAAAAACCTGCGTGTGAAAGGTAGCCCGCAGCGCGCACGTTCAACTTAAATGTTTACGCGCTACCTTCCAGACATTTCCTCCATTTTGTTTACGTACCTACGCTCGTAAAAATTGAGCGATAGTGGAAATCCATCCGCTTAACGCAGGCAGGAAAAAAACAGGTTTTTCTTGACGAAGTATTTGTCAAGATGCTGACTTGCAATTTATTTTCCCTATGGCAGATAGTCAGAATTTACCGTTTTTTTGTGCACATAACACTAATCCCTTTAGGTAAAACACGTTTTACAGAGCTCAGGGGATGTGATGGAAAACGATGAAAACGGCTTGTTTGAGACTCGTGTTACTTGTTTATGAAACGGAAAGCCGTGTACAAGTTTATAAAAAGGGAAATGTTACTGCCAAGATCAAAAGAAGAAACTATTTTTTTTCTTTTTGCATATTTGAAAAATTAATCACGGAAAAATGGAGGAGCTTTCTTTTGATAGCAGAAATTCCGGACTAAACGGCTCAAATCCAAATTCACTGTTATCTACAACAGGGCAAACAGTTTGATAAAAACTTTACCTTAATTGTTTTTTCGTCTTCGGCTTGTCTACAGTTGCTTGGCAATTAAAACATCTGCGCTTTATCTGCGCTTGCCATGGGTGAGCGACGGTGCCAAATGTGTTCAGAACAGGCGTGCCGTTGATGATGCATCTGACTAGCTATTAATAATTTAATTTGAGCACAATTTAAACGCCAATCACCCTACTTTGACTTTACTGTAAAATATTATCTCAGTGCAAATGATTTGCAGGTCTGCAAAAGTGATTTTTAACTGAAAAAGCCGGGGAGCATTGTATAGTTTGAAATGTAACCGGTTTTTTGGCTTATTACTCTCGGAAATGCCTCACTCACATTAGTTATCAAAGGGATAACCCTGTAAGACTACAGTAAGTGCAACCTGAAGAAACTTGAGCTGTAAATGAAATGGGATAAATAAAATGAACAACAACAACAAACACTGCAACAAATAAATGAGGAGAAAGTGACGAGAAAAAAAAACCGTGTACTGACTGTATAAAATACACTCATAATTGTCTTTTCCCGCGTAACTAATTTTTAGTCAAGTTTGGGTTTCAAGTAAATCAATTGCTATTGAAATTGGCTATTTTTCAGTTTGTCTTATCCTTGCGCAGAAGAAAAACAAGTTGCAGTCTGAAACATTAAATCTTTTTCGTATGCTGAGAAAAGAGGGTTAGTCTTTAG